TTGAAACTTATAGGCACACAGATTAAACCTGTGTTGTTGATTTTGGAAAACACTACTGAGGCTGCCTTGCTTCCCTTCAGAAAATCTACATTTTAACCAACTTACATGACATTCTATGTTATGTTGACTTTATCACATGAAAGTTTATAGTGCATTTCATCAATTAATAAATAAATGTGAAAATCGTAATTTTCAACACAAATAATAGTCTCACTACCTTAAGTCAGATTAACCGTCAGATTAATAATTCTGAGGTGATAAAAATCAAACCAGTGCTTTCTGACCCGGTATCTTCAAAGCTTCAGAAACCAGAATCCTCTCAGAGTATGTGGTAATATATTACTTATTAATTTCATTCTTCCAGTTTCAAATTTCATGCTATCATAGCCCTGAACAGCAGGTTCCAAGCATGATACACCTTTATATTAAGTCGTGCTGCTGCAGTGACGTCACTGAGGTCATAGCAATACACTTCACAGCAGAAACATTTTGTAGTTGACATTTAAACAAATCAATATTTTGACTGATGCTGTGAATACCCTTTTCTTTCTCCATGTCACTGCATCCTTTTGTCTTTGAAAGAAAAGTATACTAGTATATTAGTATTTGTAATGCATGGGATGTGAAATGATAATGGCCCACTGTCTATATGCGAAAATACACAAATTTCCCTCAGGATAATTCTAAAATGAGTACTGTAAAATCTGTGTTAGAAACTGCGGCTTCTATTAAAATGGTAAAATGCAAGAGATGCAGTTTTTATTAGAGCACCTACACATATAAGAAATGATTAAACTTTTGGTTCTCAAATATTCAAAAGAATTAGTTTGGCTTCTATTAGGGATGCGGCTTCTCATATAGATTTTAGAGTAAATTTTGCACTGCAACATATGGCTCTCTATTCCCCTCTGCTGCATCTTTTTCAGTGGCTCATATGTGTAAAAATCTAAGACTAGAGTGATGCTTCAATATGGTACTCACTCCCCAACCATCCATACTCTTATAATAAATCAGATGGTGAGGTCCAGAAATATTTTTGGACATTATAACAAATCTTCTCTTAGCTGCTTGAGAGCCTTGAGAGCATCAGATTCATGGGGAGTATCCCATGATACTATAGATTTCATTATTACTGGCGGGTTATCTGGCTTGGCTACTAGCAAGGAGTGGGAAAAACAATCTTGCAGTCCAATTCAGTATAAATGCTATAGCAATAAAGTAGAACTTTCTTGTTTGAATATTGTCTAGAAAGCAAAGTAGCTCTTCTGGAGGCACAAATCTTCAGTATGTTCATGTAGTGCTTTGTTTCCCTTGATGTCCCCCCCCCCCCCACTTTTTTTTATTTTGGATAAGTGTCCATCTCATGATGCCTAGTCTTTGTCGGCTCCATGACACTTGCGACCTCAGCAGCAACCAGCACCACTGAAGTAGGATTTTGTTTTGGACAGCCTGCTTTTTGGCTAAATATGACTGTCAGAAAGATCAGAACTGGAGATACCGGTGGTGGTGATGTTGATCCCTTAGTTAACAAACTTTATTGGCAACTTGGGGTGCTATTTTCTGAACTAAGGTCCAACTCAAATGGTTGGCAGAGTTAATTCAATGCTCTCGCATTGGATTTTGGTTAGGTTAGGTAAGTTTGAATGTAGTGAAATTATTGAATTTCCATTAGTAAAGTTTGCTCTTACATGAATGCTCAAAGTTGGTTTTAATAGTCTACCACATTCACTCTATTACTGTTTGATAATCAGTTGTGCAACTCAAATATGATTTAGTCTATAATTGTAATACTTGAAAAGTCTAAAGCAATAGACTAATGCATTGATCTGGAGTGTTGAGGACGGGCCTTGGTAATGTACTTAAGTCATGGCAACAACCAATCAGTGATGACACAATTCTGTGCAGATGAAATAGTTACATATCGATTCGCCCGAACATTTCTGAATGTATTCTCAGAATTGCTACATTCCAGGCTATGTAATTTGAGGATTGAAGACATGTCCATATACAGAAATATTTTATTACCATACAAAATGCAACTTAAGTGCTCCCATATAAATGTGCATCTCATTGAACAATGGCTGAAACATGCTGGTTTCTTTCATTTTTCTTTAATCAGCCATGCAAGACAACTAGAAGGGAAGGATTTTTCTAGAACACAACCAAGAAACACACTGTTGTAACAACTATGAATAAAAAAAGGTTTTTACTAAACATTCAGAAAGTTTTGAATATTATGCTTTGAAAAAAAAAATACATTATAATATAATAAGCAGTGTTGAGAGTAATGACAAAAAGAAAGTGATAGAGTGCAACAAGCATTACAAATCAATTACAAACCATGTATAGGCCGTCACACTTATTTGATGCTTTTGTTAAAATACACATATGTGTGACCCCATTAATCAATTTACAGCAGATTATGAGCTGGTGCTGATCACCCAGTGACAGTTGTTAATAGACATTCACATGCTGGTTGTACAAAAAAATAAACAGATGACGTCAATGCGGCGGTCTATAATTGCAAGTGAAATTATTCTCGGCTTAAGCAGAGATTGCATCTTTATTGAAGACAAACAACATTCATTAGTGGTAGAATTTCAATAAATATACCCAGTAACTTGATTTGTTTTACTCGTGCTTTGTTGACTCTTTCACTAGTTTTTGATTGGGGACATTGCACTTGTACCAGCCACTAACATGTTCCGTTTTAAAAGTTGTACCATTATGTTGATATTGTGTGGGTATTGACCAGATTTTTCAAAAAGAGTTTTTTTGTAATTGTCATAAGAAGAAAAACTGGACATGTAAGGTACAACTTAAAAATGGCAGTTGCTTCATCACCATAGTGGCAGAAAAAATTGCAACTTGGTACTATCACCAGGTGCGTATTGAAAGTGTGCAACGTTGTTGGAAATTTGAACAGAAAATACACCATGAACATACATCAAGAGTTACTCAACAAGGTTATGTTTTGATGAGAAAAAAAAGGTTTCAACAATTTATTGGTGGGACAACATCTCAACCCACCCACACCTCTTCTGTATCCCTCAAATTGAAAGACTATGTTTACCCCTCCCAATACACAGCTGCCTTCAAAGTGTACAACCATTTTTTATAAAATAAGAAGACCGCAAAAAAAGTCACAGCAAGAAGATGTAGGAGAACCATTTTTTTCGTAATACTACAGTATGGGTATAATGATATAATTCTTTCAATGTCTTGATTAAATAATGTGAGTAGTCAAGAAAACACTTAATACAACAACTTAGTTGCATTTTCTACTGCATGTCACAGTGTTCGACAAACTCAAAGAATTGTTAACATATTAATGAGTGTGCATATTAACAAGCAGTTTTGTTCCATTTATCAATTGAACTAGTTCACAGAATAATTGCGTCAGGCAAAGTTGTAATTTTTTCCTTTGAAAAGAGGTTTCACTCACGTAATTGGATTTAATAAAGGATCTAGTATTATCCCGACTCCAACCCCTCCCACCCAATACAGCATCTATGCATGGAGCTAACCAGTGATGTCATAGAGCCAACAGTTATTTTTGTACATGTAGCAACCTGACAACTTGGTACATCCAGTAAAATCTCCTATAGATTTGGGTCCATAACCCATACTACATGTTAATGAATGTTAACACAGCAAATCTATAAATATTATCCCCCCTCCCCCCCGCCTTAAATTAAAAAATAAAATTCCAGAGACGACAACAACCACAAGATATTATCAAATGACACAGAAGTAACGCTTTTCAAGTTAATAGCAAAATACACACAGCAATCACACTACAAATGCAATACTACTGCGAAATTTGTCAAATCGTTACATTCAAAGTCTTCAAATGGCGGACCATCCCAACGGAAAGTAATTCTGATATGGCAATGACAGTCAAAAATATTAATATAACATTACAAGTTATGATTGATATTACCAAGATGGAGACTGCACACAAGTCATGCCATGTCTGAATACATATAGTGCTTGTCTGTTCAAAATTAATTACAGCTATGTTATAAATGCATGGTAAGATGGTATTTCAAACTAGGTTTTTATCACACAGAGGAGTGCTCAGTTAATCATGTGTTTTTGTCCTGCTCTGGAATTTGATTACTACACCAATCTTATAAATATACACGGTTTACTTCTTCTTCATTGGGCCACGCGGTGGAGTAACTGGACGACCGGAATTGAGACCGCCATACTGATATTTCGCTTTTTTCTCTGATGGTTTAAGAATCTAAAGAAAGAGAAAACAAATCATTTAAAACATTCACTGATGTATGCCAAGATAACAAACTACAATATGTATGTTGACCAAACATGTTAATGCATGTGTGATCACTAAAGTAGTATCCAACCATCAGGTTTTTACAAATACAAAATAAATTAGCATATTTGGTGAATTTACTCAAAAAGCATTAGCCACAAATAAGTAGAGAAGCCAAGTGCATATCTGGCAATAGGCAGGGAAAACACTGCAAGCCACCAAATGCACCAAAATACTATGAGGTTATCGCCTGATATCACTTATCCATAGATCAAGTTGATACAAGCGATGTTATGGATTAGTATTATCTACCAACTAAGGGTGACAGAATAATACAGTCCATGATGCCACAAGTATCACCTAGTTAGAAATAAGTTATATCAGGAGATAATCTTTTTACTACACTTACTAATCATGTGCCAATCATATGCTAATTAGGCATGACATCCAAGTGTGTTCGTGGACATGCATTTGAAATATTACAGCAACTGTTGTTATCCAGTCTGAATTTATCAGCGGTAAAAATGTTATCTTTGCAAACTGTTGTGTATATCACTTAACATTACTGTGAATGATATGCACCATGGGCATGTGAAAATATGAGGTTATCACCTCATATCACTTGTTTGCAAAAGTGATGTCATGGGCTAATATTATTAACAAAATATATACCTGCCCTACGAATAAGTGATATCAGGTGATAACTTGTTTATCACATGACCATGCAAGTAATTGTTGTTATCCAGCCGAAATTCTCATAACACTGATTAAAACTATATCAGTGCACAATTTGTTTTTCTCCACATACATGTGTAAAATGATGACAAAAGTTTACCGTACAATACAGTAGTGTTATTTAATGCTAAACAACAGAACTGTACACTGTAAGTGACAAGAATATAGTTTTACCTGGAATGAGCACATAAGTGTTTCATCTACACTCATCATGCCACCTGCGTTATCAAATTCACCACAGTAATTGGGTGCTGAGAATAGAGTGACCAGCTGTCTTTTGGCAAAGAATTCATAACCATCCTCTACAACCTACAAGGAAAAATCATTGAATAGTTGATCATATTAATTTAGTATGCCATACAACACATGAACGAGCCACGCATGGCATATTCTTCGCTAGTTATCAAATCTAAGTTATATAGTTTTGTTTATAGTAACATAGTAAAATACTTGTCCATATTGAGAGATATTGTGCTGGAACATCCTTAATGAAAACAAAATGGCCATCATTTTGAATCAAATCGTAATGTCCAATGTAAGTACCAAGTTTGAACAAAATCCATCTGTAAACAGCTGAGAAAATGCTTGATTTTGATGATTTTTCAGTACAAAAATGGCCACCATTCGGCCATCTTGAATCAGATCAGGAAAAAAATTAATGTGCATATGTACAACATTGTGTATGATGTATGTGTGAAGTTTGAATGTAATAGGTCCAGGCGCACACACACTGACGCATACACAGACAGACGGACGGACACACAGAGGTCAATCTATAAGGTCCCGTTTTCGAACTGCATCTGAACGAGGACTAAAAAGCATCCACAGCCTACACACATGTACATTTATAATGCATGACTAAATGGCAGTCAATTCTGGTGGCAATGTGTGGTGTCCTGGTGGGGCATCCATGGCAGTCAGGTGGGGCATCCATGGCAGTCAGGTGGGGCATCCATGGCAGTCAGGTGGGGCATCCATGGCAGTCAGGTGGGGCATCCATGGCGGTCAGGTGGGGCATCCATGGCGGTCAGGTGGGGCATCCATGGTAGTCAAGTGGGGCATCCATGGTGGTTAGGTGGGGCATGCAAGGCAGAATTCTACAGAATTGATTACATGTTCCACCATAGGCATTCAGAACAAATTTAAACTAAATTAGTTTTCAGTCTTACCTGATGGGCTCTACATATCAAGTCTAAGTCGTGCCTGTTTAGGAATTTACTGACAATATCGGCACCAAATGTGAAAGACACACCGCGATCGTTTTCACCCCATCCCTGTACATCCTTGTCAGGATCTGACCATAAAAGATCACACAGCAACCCTACAAGACAAGCCAATATAATCAGTTAACAAATATACAAAGTGAATATGACTAAATAAGAATTTACTGTGTGAGAAAAGAGGACATGTATCTCACCTGTATCTGGCACATCTGTAGGCCTCATAATACGCCGTATCTGTTCCATTGACTGCAGGTCTGGTGATAAACCTAAAAGATAACAGTGTAGCATTGTGGTAGAAGTTGTTTCACATGTATCAGTTTTATCCTTTACTGCTTGTTTTATTTAAATATCATACATTGCCAACTACCTGCTTAAATTTATCTCTGCTTTAGACTTTGAGCTTTGTTTTGTTTACACTCAGATACTCATGCAGTTTGTCATATAAATTCACGATCACATACAACCAGTAATATAAGCCATTATTATATATCAGACACAATAGAATAGAAAAACAATAGACACAGTCAATGCATTGCCTTCGTGCATACTTTACGGTATTCTCGTAACAGCCTCATAGTATACCATATTTGCTCCATTAAGAGCACATCTTGTAAAGTACACTTTGCATTCATTGTATGCCAAGTTGTTTTTATATGACCTATTTTTACCATATACAGCTGTCATTTATTAAGTGTATATGATATTAATAGAGCAAATATAACAACAATATACCAAATGAGCTTCTACCACCACTTACCTCCATGACAACAGAAGATTTTTTCATCTACTATAGCTGCTATGGGCAAACAGTTGAAACAATCTGTGAAAGTTTTCCACAATTTAATTGTGTAACGCCTTTTACCTGAAATCATAAATATACACAAATGTTAACACAGGATTTAGGAATAACCAGGCATAATACAAGGCTTACATTAAAACACAAAGTAATGAACAAGAGTTGGCAGAGCCATCTTGATGCTGGGAAAATAAGAGTATTTAAAGGTGCATTTCTGGAGCAATGGATTGACGAACAGTCGGAAAAGCAATTTCAAAGACTTTGTTTTAATGAAAACTTGAAATATACATGAGGGTACGTCGTACGTGTTATTATTTATTTATTTTGGAAACTCAATTTTTAACTGAAGGAATTAAACTAAATTAAATAACCATATTTGTTTATTTTGAACCTTAGAAATATGACTAGTGTTCAATTCAGGACGTTTAATTGTACTTGGCGTATGTTACTATGACAATCAACCAATTCGAAAAAAAAAACAGTCGACAATGACTAAATGCATGGCCACAGCCAAATCTGTTAACATCCACACATTTTCAAAAAATCTCCATGCACTTTTTGACCTTACATAAGTAAAAATACACCACAATTTACTCCAGAAAAACAATTTTCTTGGTATATTCCTACATTCTTGCATACTAATGAGGGGTTCAGACACATTCCACGCTGAACAATTTTCTTGGACTAATAACAAACCTGGTCAATCCTTTCCCAGCAATAACTAGTAGGTGAACACAATATTGTAGAATGGGATTATTGACAGATTGTTATTGATCGAGTTTAAGGACAACTTCAAAAATTGTGAGCCAAATTATCATTGATGAAAAGTATGGAGAAAAAATGGCCCTCACACAGTCATGCAGATTTTTTTTACAATGAATAACTTGTATCATAGTCGTCATGGATTTAAGGAGTTTAAGGACAACGTCAAAAATTGTGAGCCAAATTATCATTGATGAAAAGTATGGAGAAAGAATGGCCCTCACACAGTCATGCAGATTTTTTTTAAAATGAATAACTTGTATCATAGTCGTCATGGATTTAAGGAGTTTAAGGACAACGTCAAAAATTGTGAGCCAAATTATCATTGATGAAAAGTATGGAGAAAGAATGGCCCTCACACAGTCATGCAGATTTTTTTTACAATGAATAACTTGTATCATAGTCGTCATGGATTTAAGGAGTTTAAGGACAACGTCAAAAATTGTGAGCCAAATTATCATTGATGAAAAGTATGGAGAAAGAATGGCCCTCACACAGTCATGCAGATTTTTTTTACAATGAATAACTTGTATCATAGTCGTCATGGATTTTTTAAAAAAAACTTGTGTTACTGATTAGTGGTAGGTTGTAATAACATAGCTATCAAACTGTCATGGTGAACCACCAACTTTAGATTATAACAGCTACGCCTAAAAGAATCAAAATCCCACGTCGTTGAAAATGGCTATTTCGATGAAAGCAATATTTAACAATTTTGATACATTTTTCTTAATTACTACATTTTGATATGTTTCTCGTGTTTTATTGTAGTATTCAATTTAATTTCTTCGAAGCTCACATTTGAATCTTCAATAAAGGATTAATTTACTTAGCAATCACATGACCACATGAAGGAGACATCTTAACATCAATTTTTAATTAGTGTGAATTCTGAGCTTTCACAAAATACATAGTTTAATATGGTTTAAAACATTTCTTCAATGACAATTAGTGTGAATTTTACTTCCTGAAGACCTTAATTACAACACATATTTTGGAAGGTTTTCATAATTTATTGACATTCCACAATCTGACTAGGGTCTAGTTTAAGATAGCAATAGGAAAAAAACAAGTTAAAAATCTCTAATATAGTAATTGCATAGGATGTTCATATTGCTGTAGGTCAGATGATCACATCTACTAACAAACGACTACAGACATGCTACATCAATTGGTTATTGATAGCATGTCTGTAAGTTATTGTCAGAAATATACTTCATCCTTGAGTCCCTCACTATGTCTCAATTATGGTAACAGTATCTTTTTCCAGGGCCAATGTCAGGGATGGCAAAACGTAACATAGAAGTCAGGAATATAATCCTTCAGTACTGATTTTTTTAAAGATGAAAATGGCAAGATGTTTTTAAATAAGAAGGAGATTGAACTTTAAAACCAATTGTTAAAAAAAAAAAGTTTTGAAACACCATTGCAGTAAAACATACTCAACATTTTATTTTGACTTGTTAATAGCGGAAGAAGTCAGTGCTTCATCTAGTTCTACATACAGTCTCGTGCAGAAGTGAAAGTTATTAGGATGCATGTTGTACAAATACGTCAAATGAGGGCTTCAATAGATTATAATAAAATGTTGGGGAATTATTCAGCATGTTTGAAAATATGGTGTTACTTTAAATGGCACATTATCCAGGTTTTGTTCAGTTAAAGTGACACCTCCTAGGAATAAGATAATTCTCATATTGCACAAAAATGTACAAATCCACACATAAATCAGTTGGACATTTTGAATCAAACAAGCCATGCATAACACAGACCTATTATCAAAATTAAGATATATAGTTTTGTTTGTAGTAATATATTTGAAACATAAACATGTCAAATATGGATCTAGAAGCTGATGCTTAATGACTGACATTTAGTCATCTTGTTGATATTGATATTCTCCGGAACAGCGTTACCGTTAAAGTCCTGATATAAACCGCGGTTTATATTCCAATGTATTAATTTAAACATTGGGATCAAAAGCTCAAGTTCAGGGTGCGATTTCTATTACGTACATATTGCAATCACTAAATGGGCGTGGTCATTTTTTGCCCACAACACATGCACAAAACAAACAATACACCGTACATTCTCTTGAATAGGCGTCAGGAAAGAGTGAAAGGTCTTACTTTGGTTCCAAAATAGGCGTTATGAAATGTTGAAAAATTACAATAAAAAAAAAAAACTGTCCACATGACAACAAAAATACTCAGTATATTTAATGTAATATGCATTTATTTTTTTAATTTTCTTGGTAACGAAAAGTATATTCTAACAGAAGTTTCAACAAACACGAATACACTGCTTAGTAGCAAATGATCACGGAACGGTAGCGCAATCCGGTCATGCTGCGGTTCACAAGTGAATAACTTACTTGTTTTCGCAGTGTTGAAATTGGTGATTATTATTCAGTAGTGATTACAATAACGCACTAAAAATAAATCCGTTGAATTATGAAATGCAAGTAAACCTCAACTTAGTTTCACTGTAAGCGAATGATTTCAGTCACATGTAAACGGTTGATAGGATATGATATCCGCCATGTTTTTGATTGCTTATGTAACATGTTTATTGACCGGATAGGTCAAGTCGCTAATTAACCAATCAAAATGCTGGATGATGCCCATAGCTCATTTAAATATGTTATTAACAGTGTAGTGCAATCTTTTGGCTTTGATTTCCATGGGAAAATGGCATGATTTTTTTTAAATCAAGAAATTATTTTTGTTTTCGAAACATTTTGAATGTATTCAGAGGTTGCCACCAGTTAGTGCGGTTAGTAATAGGTACTTTTCAAGTTTTCAATTTTTGTTAAGAACTCTTTAACCCCTAAGCCGGAATTTGGGGTGCAATTACATTTACGTATGCGGTTTATATTAGGATTTTAACGGTAATTAAAACAAAATTTTAAAAACATTTTAAATCTGATAGTCAAACCAATACATCTGTGTATCTATGACATGATGTATAATGAATATATAAAATTTGAACATAATAAGTCAAAGCATGTCAGAACCCCATTCATTGAAATAAAATGGCTGACAGGTGAAAAACTAAATGACGTGCATCAAGGTCCCATAATGTCCAATGTATGTACCAAGTTTCAACAAAATCCTTCCATAAAAGACTGAGATCCGGTTCTGGAATGCCAGGAATGCTTGATTTTTTAGCACAAAAATGGCCACTATTCGGCCATTTTGAATCAGATCGTCAAACCAGTATATCTGTATATCTATGACATGATGTATAATGAATATATAAAATTTGAACATAATCAGTCAAAGCATGTCCGAGATGTGGCTCTAGAAACGCATTCACTAAAACAAAATGGCCACCTGTCGGCCATTTTGAATCCCATCTGATAACAAAATACATGTATCAAGGTCCCACAATGTCCATTATATGTATTAAGGTTCAACAAAATCCATCTGTTCCATTGGGTTATATTGAAGCAGATTGTGAAACAAATTGATGTGCTTATGTATAATATTATGTATGATGTATGTGTGAAGTTTGAATGTATTCAGTCCAGGCATGTCTAAGATACAGGTCCGGACACACGCACACACAGAGGTCAATCCATAAGTTCACAGGAACTAATAACAAAACAACACATCACATGTGTTTTTGATATCAAGATAAGTTAAAGCACGGCCATGAAATGGTAAAGGACACAACAAAAATAACACCAACATGGCCACCAGTCACAAAAGAAACTGCCATGCATCAGTAACCAACTATGAGTGATGTATATACCAAGTTTGAGTGAAATAGGCACAGGCACGCCTGAGAAACAGTTGATGAAATGTTCAAATTTTGTGATTTTTGTTTTGTTTACAAAAATGGCAGTCAGTTGGCTAGATTTTAAAGACAAAATTCAACACATTATGTCTTTGTACTAAATTTAAACCAAATCTATAAAAATATTTCTTAGGAAGCAGAACAACACAAATGGCAGATAGTCAGCCATTTGAATAAAATCATGAAACAAAATGATGTGCATCTGTATCCCATCATGGGTGATTTCAATAACAAAATTGAATGAAATCGGTCAAGACAATCCTGAGAAACAGTGGACATGTTCAAATGTTGCATTTTTGGTGTTTATTGTCATTATTAGTAAAACACTAATACAGTTTGTATTTATAAAATGTGGAGATGCTGTGAACAGTTGAAATGCAACTAATTAAATGCAAATGTATACTCACATTCATCATAGAAGCCATAAATTCGATTGATACTAGCACATTCATGGTTCCCTCTCAACAAGAAGAAATTCTCAGGATATTTTATTTTGTAAGCCAAGAGAAGGCAGATACTTTCTAATGACTGTTTGCCTCTATCTACATAATCTCCAAGGAAGAGGTAGTTTGCTTCTGGTGGGAAACCACCATATTCAAAAAGTCTAAGAAGATCTGTGTACTGTCCATGAATATCACCTAAAAGAAAAACAGAGAAAACTGAATGAAGCAATACAGCCTTAAATTATTATTTATTTTAAATTAGATATCATAATTAACAAACAGGTGCCAAGTTTAAAATAACAGGTTCATAAAATGTATTTTATTACTTAATACAGAATTCATCTATGGCCAACATCTGGCACAGTATGTTTAGACTACTGCAAGTTGATGGGGTCAAATGGCAGAGCATGTCAATTTATTTGAGTGACAAGTGCACATGATAGCATAATAAACAGGCATGATGGATGCACCAAGTTAAAATGTATTTGGGGTGCTCACACTGTCTACCTTTAATACCTCAACATTTGCAGTGGGTTGAAAAAGTTTACAGTTTAACTAATTGACTATCAAAACAATCACCAAGTGCTACAAAAGCCTCGATAATAACAGTTATGATAATTAAATTGTCTATCAATCAATCAATCAACTAAAATTGAATTCTAAAACACCAGAATATATTTTTTTATTTTAAATTTGGGGTGGGTCGGGCAGTAAAGGTTATGGCCACCCAAAATAAATCTTCGAACAAAATAACACTTTGAAAGTAAGCATGTGTCCAAAATGTATTTTGATTATTATATTTACACACACATATATATATATATATATTATAGTTTTAGGTCGACTAATTTCCTCTCACACCAACTGCCCACAGATGCATATAAAATAAACAACTTGTCGATAAACTCAGTACAGCATGGTGCATATGCCGTAAAAATACCGATGGGGAAATCTTTCGAATAGTTCACCAACTGCGATGAGTTCAGCGAACGTTTGCCACATACTTCCTCAAACTCAATGCAAAAGTATTACTTACTGCACGATTTATGGCTCTGGACTTTCGGTTTTCTGAGAAGTTGCTAATTAAAACATTAATTGGGGTCGATGGAGTGGAATCCGTGTTGCATACTCACCGCATATTTTTAAAGGAGCTTCCAACTCGAGAAGGATCGGTTGACTTAAAAATATTTCACGAGCTTTCAGACACAATCCTCTGACTTCTGATTCTGTTAATTGCACTGTCTTTCCGGGCTTGCAACCCCTAACTATAAAGATGAAAAGAATACAAATATGTATTAGAAAATCATAAGAATAGACTCAATGGCAAAGACACGCAGCATTGTCAACATACTTCGTCATATCAACTTTCAAATTCCTGGTAGATCCCTGGAACATCTCAATATAAAACATGTTATCGTTTTCGCTTATAAATCACTTATAACATCTAGATCAAATACAAAAAGAACACAGTGCAATGTTAAATTTTTAGCTCATCCGAAAGACCTTATATCAACGTTAAAAACAAAATATTTACCCTCTAAAAGCGTCGAAATCACTTTATCGATGTTCAGCTCGGTGTCCGCCATTTTGTGTTGCCTGCACTGACGTCACACTTGGCAGCCATTTGCCTTATTTAGAAGTTAGCGTATTTATTTCTAATAGGGGTGTTGTATCTCGCCAAGAGCAAAAACACGTACTACACTGTATGTAAAAATATAAAAAGTAGCTTGTATATTATTCTAATAATTTTCTATCCAATTTTTGATCCACTTGTATTATACCACGCCAATGATTAATTCGTTATGTTCAATGATGGAATGCCTTACCTACGTAAAGTGGTATAATCCAATCTAGATCAGACTGGGGGCGCTGGAGCTGCACCTCACTTGCGTATCCCGGATGCAAAAAAACAACAAAATAAAATCGTGATCTAACACAATGACGCATTGTATCACGGTCTGATATTATAAGTGACTTGAAACGACCGTACATAGAAGTCTACTCAGTCTATGCTTCCACGCACGTACATTTCAAATAGCTGTACACAGAAATTCAATAAATAAACAAAACAAAACAAAAATTTCCTCTCAATCAGCCAACATATAACATATGAGACATTGCAACGCCAAATCCACAAAAAAACCAAACCACGCAATAAGTCATCATCCATAATGCCAATTAATCCATCGCACAGCTCAACTATAGCTATAACAAGAATTGAAATCTCACGAATATTACACAGGTCATAAGATCCACCTTTATGTAATGAAATAACTTTGGTAAGTTTAAATATAGAAGGTAGTCATTCTACTGAGGTTGAATAAATACAATAAAAATGACTTATTGTTGTTGTTCTTTTAAACAATTTCACAGCAACATATATTTTTAATTGACTGTTAGATTATGCGATGTCCGGCCGCGTTCATGTCACGTACGGTTAATTATTCATAAATATCATATATGCATTATTTACAGTATGGTGGAACTTATACGTGAGATATCTTGGTTCAACGAAAAATTACCTAAAAATGTTCGTCTATAGAGGGGATGTGGGGGAACTTTGGTTAAGGTCCGCAGGTGCTCGTGTTCGACCGGGCCTGGTTGACGCCAGGATATTGCCATATGATAGAGAACTGTCGCAGGGCATAACAACATTTAAAAAAAGGAAAACAACTATTCATTTCAAATAAAACATCGAATGAGTCCCGCTTGGAAGACTAGAGTTCTGTTAGTTATACATGTGTCATAAAATAAGGAGGTAGGGCTCAAAACGATTTTCGAGTCATTGCGTGACTTATCATACCGCGTTACCAGTCTGTTGCATTACTAGTCTGAGTCTAAATTGAGTGATAATTTCTAAAGGTCGCATCACTCTACAAACTTATTAAGACCAGTTTGCAAAGTGTGACTGTCAGTTGGAGATGTAATAGACCTATAAAGCTTGGTATCGTCAGCGTAAAGTAAGATTGGCAGAGATATCAAGGTGGGTGATGTCACTAATATACGTAACAAATTACAAAGGCCCCAGGAGTGACCCCTGAGGTACACCAGACAATGCGGGAAACCATTTAGACACGTAACCACCTAAAACTACTCTCTGCTGCCTATGACTTAGGTAAGATGATAACCAATGATGTAAACTACCACAAATACCAAGTGTAAAGGCCTTGTGGATGGCAATAGCATATGAGATGAGAATGGTTTGGCATGGATGACTGGACGATGAATACATAAGCCATAAAATAAATCACTAATAATCAAACTCATTATAATGGTATATTTTCTACTTTAGAAAAAATATTACATTAACACTGTTTGTTTGCTTTGTACACATTCCAACGATGCTACCAATGGAACTAACAGATCGACGAATGAGGGCGTGATTTAGGCACGAGCCGAGTGGGTCCCGATGTGGATTCCGACTAACGTGAACGCAGCAGATTTGTCGATCTGTTATTTTATACCCAAACATGGCAAGCAATACGCATATGATGATAATAATAACAACTTTATTGAAATCATATCCATTTGCTTTTATGGTGTTTTTTTTTATTTCAACTACATAAACCATTACATAACACAAAAGAAAAAACACACACAAGGTACATAGCTATTTGACGTCAGATAAAGAGAATTAACCAATAACTTAGTGTAAGCATATTTAATATCCTCTTAAGAGGTATGCACTATAGATTTATGAGTCTTAATTTTAATCAACAACAATTTAAATACTTAATTTCGAAAACCTTAAAAAAAATTCTAAAGTTATTCTCAACCGTTACTTATGAAATTTGCAACATGTAATAAAGTTTTTTTTAACTATATAAACAATACAAAACACAAGGTCAAAAGAATGAAGTACATACTTTATTGGCAGATAAAGAAAAATTACATTTAAGAAAATAATCAGATTTCTTTAAATTTAAATTAGTGTGCGATTTTAAAATACAATAAAGCTTTCTTCCATTTATCTATAAACTCTCCATAATGTTGGTTTGTTTTTGCCATACGTTTCTCCAGGACTATTATTTGTTTTATACTCTCAATATAAGTATTAACATTTGGTTTGAGATTGTTAAATCTTACTCTGTACAATTCATATTTTCCAAGTAGTATTAGATGCTCCCACAAGGCCTTTGATTGAATTCCTTCTATAGTATTGAAAATAACATAATTCTTTCCAAGTGCAGTGTCTATAAACGTGATTTTTGTCCATAAAGTTTTGAAAGAGTCCCAAAATGTTCTACTCTTCTTACATTCCCACAACAAATGTTGTAAATCCTCTGTCTGGTCACAGTGATTACATTTATCATCATCATTCATTTTAGAAATGAATTTGTTGCGAGAATACGATGGAGTATTTTATATTGAAAATCGCACAATTTTTCTTGAGCAGTTATTTGCTTCACCTTAAACAAATTGCCCGCCATTCAACGTGTCCCACATATCCCCTTCTGTTGAAAGTGTCTATGGCAGATGCTTTTTTCAAATTTATTAGTTTTCGGATCGTTATAAAAATGTTGACATTTATATTTGACAGTTTAGAGGTCACATTCTCTTTCTGTCGCACGGGTAAGATATCACTTTTTAAATTCTTTTTCCATTGACTGGGTATAGCAGCTATAATGCTATTGTAAGTGAGAAAATCGACTTTTATATTATATTTACTTTTAAGTTGATTGTAAGTCAGAATATTTCCGAAATTGCTCACGGATTTTACTCCTCTATTTATCCAGTTGCGGTAGAAAACAGACTTACCTCCCACGAGTATATTTTTATTATTCCAGATAATGTATTGATTAGGCCGGTCATTCACAGGATCATTACATTTTTTGGTAAATTCTGCCCAAAATGTAAGAATTTCTTTGTAAAAGCTAGGGAAATTGACTGGAAGACGATCAGCAGAATAATCACAGTTCAAAAGAAATTTCAATCCGCCCAATTTATTAAAGAAATAGTTTGGTATGTGCGTCCATGGTGCTTGTGAGTCTATGATTGTGTTAATCCAAGATAATTTTAATGCCTTGTTCATTAGTTCAAGGTCCATCATTTTTACACCACCCTGTGAATCGTCTCCAATCATAGTTGAATTTTTAACATGATTCTTTTTACCTCCCCACAGAAAATTAAATAGAAAAGAGCTGGCTTGTTTAACTACTTCAAGTTGGATTGGTACTGATAAACTATTCATAATGTAGATTAAAAAGCACTTTCCTAAAATAGCTTTTCCTTAGATGGTCAAGTCCCATGATTTCCAAATGTTTAGTTTATTTTTCATTTTTTGTAGATTATCCACAAAGTTTAGTCTTTCATTTTCTACTTTATTATGGCCCAAATAAGCACCTAGGACTCTTACCGGATTATTTGTCTTAGGCCCCGTGGAAGCTCCCATACCCCTTTCTGGTTACCAAGAAGTACAAGTTCTGTTTTATCTAAGTTAAGCGCTAAACCAGATAAGTTGGAAAAAATTGACAAAATATTCATTTAGAGAAATTTTAATGGAAGAACTATCTCTAAGAATCAGTGTTGTATCATCTGCATAAGCAGATTATTTTTGTTGATGACCAGAGGGTAAAATAATACCTTTAACAAGGTCGTTACTTCTAATATGGGATAACTAATAACTCGATCGAAATGGCAAAAAGTGCAGTTGACAGAAGGCATCCCTGTCTTACATCTTTATGCAGATTAAACCACCCAGTACTGGTACCCCTATTGATTACACAACTTTGGATGTTTGTATAAAAAGTCTTAACCCATCTAATTAATGACGGGCTAAAACGAAAAAGTTGTAAGGCTCTAAAAAGAAAGGGCCACTCTAACGATTCGAAGGCTTTTGCATAATCTAAAAACAGTAGTGCACCTTTGTTCCCTGTTTCTTCACACCATTCAATAATGTCACTTAATAAACGAATGTTTTCTGTGATCCGCCTACCCATGCAACGACTTGCTAGTTTATAATTTGTGTTTAATAATGAGATCGGCCTCCAGTTATTAATTTGAAGTAGGTCTTTTTCAGGTTTTGGTAGTAGAATTACCACAGCCTGTCATTGTGTAACTAAGAGAGAGCCATTATTATATGCATAATTTAACGAATTTAGGATCGAGTCGCCAAGATCTTCCCAAAAGAAAAGATAAAAAATACCATCACTGCCAGGAGTTTTATTTTTAGGGGTATTTTTTAAAGCCTCCAACAATTCCGTTTTAGTGATTTCACCTTCACACAAATTCAGTTTCTTAGTATTAAGAGTCGGTATAAAAGATACATTTAGAATGTTATCATAACTGTCTAAATTAACTTCTGATTTTGATGAATAAAGCTTCACGTAGAAATCGCGCAAAATGGTTGTGATTTGTCTGTGGTTTGTGGTTTCTTTACCTTCATGATTAAGTTTTGAAACAGATTTCTTATTATAATTTCGTTTTTCTAGATTCAGAAAAAATTAGTACTTTTTTCTCCTTGGTACCAATCTCTAGATCATTTTTTACTCCTTCGTACTGTGCCAAAATATTCTCGTCTAGAGTTTCATCGATCTGCTCTTCTAGTCGGTGAAGTTTTTTGTTCAGATCATTTTCCAAAGTGAGGAGCTGTTTTTTTTCTTACTATAAAGTATTGTTTTTTTCTCT